AACTTCGTCTAAAGGCTGAATTAGTTCTTGTTAATAATGACGGGGTACCTTTAAAGATAACCCCACGAGAGCGATGAACATTTTTTTCATTATTTTTTTTTTTTTTTTTTTTTTTTTTTTTTTTTTTTTTTTTACTTTACATTTTAAATTACAAGTATTCTTAGTTTATACATAGTTTCTATTGAAGACGATTAGTGTCCATTTTATACGTATAATTAAGTTTTAGTATTACGTGTGATTTTTTACAAAACGTAATTATAAAATTACAAGATTGATAGTTACGAACACATAACTATAGATCTATAGAAGACGCAGTATACTTTACCTAGATCAAAAAACAATTATGACGTGATGATATTGTTACAACATCTATCAACAATCCTCTAAAATTCATCTAATCCTAATGTATTTAAGTCATTTATATTCATTTACATGATAAGAGTGATTTATTATTTTTAATAAAAAAAAAAGTAATTTTTTACTTACACCCTTTATTTCTCTATTACCAGTCTGTAATGTCCTACCTTATCGACCAACTTAATTTTGGGGTACTACTTTGTGGTACTACTTTGTTTCAAATACTACAGATGGCGTCATACAATTTTATTACTTACCGACTGTTTATTAGTTCTGTTTTATCGATCAGTTGATTTTCACGATAGGGTGCGTCATAGTAGTTGTTGTTTGTTTATATACATTATTGAAAAAACAAAAGCACACAAATTGTATTAAATAAAATATGGATGCGATTGAAATCAAAGAACAAGATAGTTCTTGCAATGTTGACAAAGTGGACAGTAAAATGGATGCAAAACAAGACAAAATAATGTCTAATGAGAATACCAAGTCAGATAGAAATCATCAGGAATTAGTTAAGTTGACCAAAGAAGCTCTTGATAAATTAATTGACAGCGATCCTTTTCTATCTGGATTACCATTAAATGTCACTGTAGAAGAAATAAAAGCTCAGATTGCTGTGGCACAGGGTCAAGCGATAATGTTATTTTTAATTCGTAAACATCTTCCAAAACTTTCTATTGTGGTAATGAATTTTGTTTTTTAACATAATGTCATACAGAGTTGCAAATATATAAATATCAATAGTATATAATATTAGTGTTGTAAACAAATTAGAATTTATTTCAATGTAGGTACCTACGCATACAACTACAGTGCTTGATTTGAAAAAAGCCATCAAGAGGCATACTAATTTATATTTCAAAAGAGAGAATATTAAGAAGAAGATCAGTTGGAAACACGTTTGGAAAAAATATAATTTATGTTTCGAGAATATACATCTCACCAATGACAATAAAAATTTAAAAGCTTATGGCATCAGCAACAAAGCTGAATTATATTACATTAAGAAGTACATAAGAAGAAAATAAATTAAGTAATGTTACATAAACGCATAATTGGGAGCTACTTTTGTATATATATATTTACACATGTTTACATTCAATTATTAAATCGTTATCATTTCATTCAAGTTCTTTATTCTCGTCTTTGGATTCTTTAGATTTATCTGCATACCACGAATTCAATATCTTACATTCCAAATTAGGCATACATTCTTCCAACATAAAACAAGTCAATTCGAATGCTGCTGATTTATGATGATTCGTTACTACCAACATTTTGAGATTGTCTAATTTGTATAATGCTTCTAATCCTTTTTCCGTAACATTTTTACAATCAGAGATATCTAAAAACTCCAAGGATGGATAACGTGCAGATATTCTGTCCAGGCACCAATCATCAATATATTCGCAACCCTTAAAGCTTAGCCATTTTAATTTATTAAGTGGTGACATGTTTTCTAAACCTTCGTAACATATCATCGTTTTGCTTGCATCTATTGCGATAACTACATAATTAGATTTATATTGAGTTGGTAATCGAACAGGTTTATCATCAGTAGCTTCTAACCAATTGGAATTCTTAAACTTAATTTTTCCTCTCCATTTAATAATAAAGTATGCCGCTGTTATGTTTATACCCAATACGTTAATCATCTTGGGATCAACCTGTTGTTCTTCAGAATAGATTGCTTTCTTATTAAACTCGAACCATTGTTTGATATTTCCTATAGAAAATTTTTGCACTGGTTGAACTTCTGGTTGAAACCAAGAAAAACTGGTATCTGTTTCAGTTGATGGTTCTGTATCTTCTGAACTTATCTGTGTCTTTTTGGGTATAAATCTTGAACAATCCTTTAGATTTCTTGGTACACGTTCCATTAATTTACTTCCAGTACTAATATGTTGTAAACTTTTAACGCTGACCACATGACTGGTTTTTATTAATTTGTTAATAAGATATTGCGACAACATGTCGTTACTATTTTTCTTTGGGTTTGTTTTTATTCAATCAATCGATACTATTATTTATTATTCTTTTATGTATTTTATGTTAACTAAATACAACGTTTTTTTACTTGTATATTTTTAACTCGTAGAAATTGTATATATTTAGTATTATTTCAAGTTTATAAGATTTATTTGTCACTTCACATTGATTGGTCACATTTTATCCTGAGAACCAATCAAATCTCTAAATTATACTACATTTATTATTTTTATTCTTATGAATTTTCTATTCAATAATTATTTAACTTTAATTAATAAAATATACTTCTAATTGAATAGGTTATGAGAATGTTTCAAAGAATTTAAAGCCCACCAATTCTTTTCGTTACATAATATTGATTGGTTAATAAGAAGTACAAGTCTTATCGTGAGAACCAATCAAATCAGTGGATTATATTAGGCGATAAATATTTACTATTTTAATTCTTATTTATAAAATATATTAATATTTGCAACAATTAAATTTATGAATATTAATTGAATATTAATTAATCAATTTATAATTTTTGATCCAAATTTTAGTTTCATTTTAAATGTTTCTTTTTATTGACATGACACAAGGAACCAATATGGCTCCACCATCAGCTGCTTCTTCTTACATGTATTAAATATGAACGTACCATAAATGTCAAGAAAATAGAGCTATCGAATTTACTGTAGATTAAAGTTATACACTTTATTCCTTCTTTTTGTATTTATAAATTAAAAAAAAACGAATAAATAATTAGATAAAATGTATTCGGTATATCTTCTATTAATTGTTGGTTAAATATTCGGATGCAGTAATTAAAGAAAAACAATTTGACGTATGAAAGTGTCACTCCTGTGAGTTGTCAAGGAATCATTTTCATTTATATATCTACATTCGTTGGGTGACATAATTGTGAAGAAATCAAAATCATTATTTTCGTTAATTAATTATTTTCCAAATTTGTCATAATGGAGGATATGCAAGAAGAGGTTAGTAATTGTTTTTTTTTTTCCTATTTAATAATTATAAAATATAGATAGAGAGAGATGAACTTATCAAAGTATAAACATAATGAATAATTTATTTGCATTTTATTTATAGACCCAATTTGTTGTCGATACCGTAAGCAAAATAATAAAGGAGGCTATCGAGGTGTCTATTGGAGGAAATGCTTACCAGCACAATAAAGTTAATCAATGGACATCGAACGTTGTCGAAGCATGTTTAGGAAATTTAACGAGGTTGCAAAAACCATATAAATATATCGGTTTGTATATTAACGATAATATTTGAATTAACCTTTTAGACACTGCATACCACTCTAATGGCTTTCATGGATATTTACATAAAGAACATTGTCGTACACATAGATGTAACATTGTAAAAAGTTTTGCAGTAGCTAAAAGATTAATCAGTAACATCATCCACTTGTGGTCGCAATATTTATTATATTTGTTGTTCTTGTTTATTAAGTCACGTGTACGATTATGCAAAAAAATGGAGCAGGATTACACACGGCGAGCTCATGTTTTTGGGATAATGCCACAGATGGAAGTTGTACCGTACGTTGGGAAAACAAAACTATGTATTGCATTGTTTCTGTATTTGGTTTAGGAATCTAATAATATCTGAAGGATAACGACTTTCCAAATAATATATATATATATTTCATGATTAAGTAATAAATTTAGTAATATTAAAATATGAACAATTTAAATTACATTAAACCCTTTGCGCTATAACAATGCGTGGAGATTTGTAATAATCTTTATGGTTTAAACGTAAGAAGCATAAAATGTAGCATCAAATATTGCCACACAATTCTAAGCATTAAATCATAGCGTAAAGGGGTTATAATAATAATTAACACATATGCGTATATATATATATATATATATGCGGCTATATTACTGCACAAATTTATCTCTCTTTTTTCTTTTCTTTTTTTTTTTTTACTCTTATCTTTTCATTTATAATCTCTTTAAGTCGAATGTAAAGATATATTTAAATATTAATAAGAGGAAGATCTTGAAAGTAATATTTCTGTACACAAAAACACTTTATTATAAATATACATTTAATTGCGATAACTTATAGATGATAAATTGCAACATATAGGAAAACAATATTTAACATTTTAATTTACCGTCGTTAATAATTTGTGTGTCTTTTCCCATTTGAGTATTTAAAACTAAATTTTTCCATATTTCTAATTATTTTATGATACACACGCATATTTCTAATTATGATGTCAATTTCAATAAATCTAATTATTTTCTATAGCTTGAAAAAAAAAAAAAGTAATAACGTTTTGTTTTTTATATTAATAATATAATTTAAAGTAATATCTTACAACGGAAATATATAGAGTACTATTAATTAAATAAATGTATATATATATAGTTATATATATATATATAACACGTAAAAAAATAAAATATATATATATTGTACGAACAAAAGAACTTATTGTTAGCTAATTTCTATTTCTAAGTAAAAATAAGGCTTTGTTTTTTTCTTTTTTTGTTTTCTTATTCAATGTCTCTGTCTCTCTCTCTCTCTCTCACTTTTTAATACTCAACCATAGTTGGAGTTTACTTATATTAACATTAAGTATTAGTCAAATTTTTGTGTAGAACAAAACTTGTGAAAAATATTCAAATGGAGAGAATAAAAAAAAAAAAAGAAATGATCGCATTATAAAATGAAATTTTAAGTTGCTTTTTTGTCAAAGAAATAATTATCGTAAAAAACTTCATCGTCGTTCAATAATACCATATTAACATTTAAATTATTCAATTCTAAATTATCGTCGTCGATGTAGAAATCCTCTATCGAGGTATTAGCAGAATTGTCCTGAAATAATGTGAAAAATGCATGATATTATCAAAAATGTAGATTAATATTATATTTTTAATATGTTACAATATTACAATATACTTACAGCTTTACGTATCGGTAGTTTGCCTAAATGCGAATGATTTCCTACTTTATGATGAGGAATAATATTTGGTAATGAAAATCTTCTTTTTATTGATAATTTGTTATTGCATTTACTGCAATTTTTGCTCGAAGATTCCATATTCTGTTTTACATCGGTCGACATTGAAGAAAAGTAATTTTCAGTATATTTTCTGTTGGATAATTTCTTATCATTAAATTTAATCGTATCAATATCATGTAATGAGTTTTTTAAATGACAAACATTTGCTCTGTAGATTCCGTCTTGATTTTCTCTCGTAGTAAAGTTAGTTTTTTTAGTATCATTGATGTTTTCTTTCAACAACGTATTACTATTTAATTCGTTATCAAAGGATCGATTTTTATTTGACATTAATGTTTTATTTGTATCGTCTAGTTTCTTGTTTTTGTCATCTTTGATATCGTCGGTATAAGTTAATTTATATGCCTTATTATTCAGGAACGATTTACTAATGTACGTGTTATTTGTTACAGTATTAATATTATCACAGGATTTGTAAGAAGGTAAATGTGTTGTGCCCGATTCATTCTGAATAGATTTATTTGCACAAATGATTTCTGTTGCTCTATCCAACGCATCTTTCAAAACTTGTAACGAATCCATTTCTGATCTCGACTCAGACTCAGTTACCACCCTTTCGGTAAATACCCTGTTGTCGTTTTGTTCACCTTGTTTTTTAACGTCTACTGAAAGAACAATTAAACTTAACGTTGGAATATTTGTCTAATAAAATGTATCGTTAAATGCAAACCTGATTTGTTGTTAACATTACACGTTTCCAAAGGTTTTATAAGATCGTCTAATTTCGTAACAGAATTTTCTGCAGTTCCCGCAGATATTTGCTAATAATTAAATAATCAAATTAATATTATCGTAATCTACGAGATAATATGATAATATCGAATATATAAATAAAAAAAAAAAAACTTACCGTAACGTTTGGATCCTCTTTCCACATTTTGGATATACAAATTTCTTTTTCCTTTTTCCACAAGGATGCTTCAAAAAAGCCTTGAGGATGCGATAATATTACACGAGGTTTCATTATTGCAGTTTTTATATTTGTAGGCATCTGTGAGTAAGGTTGCTAAATAAGAATAAAAAAAGTTAGAAATAAATGAGAAAAAAAACAAAAAAAAGAAGAAAAGAGAGAGTGGAACGGAAGATAAAATAAATTGATTATATGGAAAGTACTTTGCAAGTTGATTGATCAGGCGAAATATATGGTGATATGTATGGCGAATCGTATGAACCGGGAGATCTATTACATTTTTTTTCTAAACTTGTCTTATGACTAGCAGGTTTATGTGGCTCGTAATCTCTACTCTTCACTTTGGCCAATATTTCTGACTCGACGATTGAATCATCTATTTCAAATAAAATAATCAAGTTATTATTTGTTAATAATAATAATTATCTTTAATGTCTGTATCACCTTGACATTTACTTTCATTGTTTTCAGGTGACTGAGGTTGGGGTGTTTCGATATTCTTAAAAAAACGTTCTCTTTTATTAGCAAGAGTTTCTTTCAAACGTTGCAAATTAGCACGTGGATTAGTCTCTGCTGTAATATCTTCTGCAATGTTAAAAGAAGATACTACAGATATATTACTGCAAGTAGATTCAGTCAAAATTTTAGGTAATTCTACTTGTTCACTTTTTCTATTCAATGATTTCGAATGTTTCATAAGTTGCGACTTTTTAAACGCACTGTAAGATTGTAACTCTGGTAAATCAGAATTGACATTGTTACTTCTTTTCTTCGAATTATTTTTATTTTCTTTATTTTCCTTTTTATCCAATGAAGTTAATTTCATTTCTTTATGATTATCTCTTTCGATTGATCTCTTTGGACTCGAAAGAAAGTTCTGTCGATCATTTTGAATCAGTGAATTTAATTTTGAATTTGGTGAACACTCTGTGATGAACACTTCGTTCGAAGTGTTTTTTTCTGCTATACTTTTGATTTTCGTAGAATCCAAACATGTTCTACTTTTTACAATGTCCACATTTTCATTTAATGATATCACCGTAGATGGGCTATTACAGTCAGTTGCAGTCGAGGGTTTTTTAGTGCTTGGTGTTACAATTGTCTTGTTAATTTCTTTCTTTTCTTTTCTTTTGCATTCGTCCTCCTTATACTCGTGTTTTATCTAAAATTATGACTCTATTAGTAATAGTAGAAAATAATTAAAGTAATTTAATGTCGATATCACTTACTTCGAGACTTTGTAACAATCTGCGTGTTTTAATAAGATCGATACTTCTTTTGGCAGGATCAATTTGTAAAGCTACTTCTAACAAACTATAAATTATCGCTGGAGAATCGCCTAAATCTAAAGGAATACTTTGTCCCAATTGTACGTACTGATTTTTCACTTCTGAAACGTCGTAGCCATTCCATGGTATACGCACTGTTCAAAATAATAAATACAAATTATATAGGATTGCATCATGAGTTGCATCAGGAGTTGCATCAGAGTTGACACAAGCGAACAAGGTTTTTAGTTTTCAAAATTGCAAGCTCAGTTTTTCATATAAAATCAATCCCTGCTCGCTCGTATCAACAATTATAGGACACCCTGTATAATAGAAGAACAGATCTCTTCTTTACCGTTTAAGTAAACCACTATAGATAAGTAATTGAATTAAAGCTTACTGGTGCACATTTCCCATATGAGCAAGGCAAGTCCATAAATGTCGTTCTCTTTGCAAACAATATTAGAAAATAATTCTGGTGCTTGCCATCTGATGATTTCGCTGCGTAAAATGTCCTCGTATATTTTTGGGGATTTTGTCTGTAATACAAAAAAATACAAAATAAAAGTAAATCACAACGTAAATGTTGTTAGAAAGACATAGCATATTTGGGGGAATAAAAAAAAAAAAAAAGAGGAAATTTAATTAAATTCATGGCCATGGAATTTAATTAAATTCGTTTTAAAATAAGTTTCGTGAATTCATATGATTGTCTACTGGTCTACCTAGATCTCGCGTTTTAGGTTTTCATCCGGCACCAGTGTAATCAACCTCAGTCATGGTAGAACGATTTTATACAGAAATCTACATTTCGTAGGAAACAATGTACATACATAAAACTCTGTCCGAGTTTCCTGTTTTTCAACGACGCTGGGTGCGTCATGGAATTACGGAAATGACGTATACCTCTTTCCTATTTATCATCGCAGGTATTCTCGTCTGCGTAACACAGCGAAACACAGCGATGAAAAATTCTATTCTTTACATTTACAACTCTGTTCCTTGAAACTGTCTATCTTATTTTTCTTAAAATTTGTAGAAAAAAGAATAAGTTTAAAACAAGTTAATAAATAATAATAATAATAATAATAATAATAATTGGAGTTTTCAAAAAAAAAAAAAAAACAAAAAAAAAAAGTCAATTAACTTACGTTAGTTACGCTGACAGCCAATTCCCATCCAGCAAGTTTAACAGTTTCACCAAAGGTGAGATAAACGCAATGAGGACTAATCGCACTGTGGATGTAACCACGCATGTGTGCATGCCTAAGTGCATCGGCTAATTTTCCAGCAAACCTTGCCATTTGCCGAACGGAAATTCTTTCGCCTTGCTCGTGTATGTAATTGTAAAGGGTACAGTCTACGGGTTCGAGAATTGAAATGAGCCCGTGTTCTTCCGTCTGTGTTAAAGCCATTAACATCAATACATTTGGATGGCGAATTTTTCTATAAACAAAATGAACAACAATAAATATCAAAATATAAGGAGATGATGTTGAAAGTAAAACAATGGGGTGGGAGAAAATAAAAGAGAAAAGAAAGTCATAAATTACGTGAGAATTTCCATGTCTGCTTTGACCGCGTTTCGACACTCCGGATGCGTTTGCCTCTTCAATGAGATTCGCGTGTTTTCCCACTCGGCATAGATCAATTCCAAATATCGATCCTCCGTTCCAGCGACCGATCCGATCTCAAAGATCTCCGATGCCGGTACATGTGGTACATCCAGCAACAATAATGAATCTTCTTCTTGAGATATTTTACAATCGTTTTCAATATCTTTATCTTTTTCCATATCGTTAACAGTACTATCCGTTAACAAAGAAACGTCATTTACATTTAAAATGTTGTTACCACCAACTCCTGTTTCTATGATCGATGATGAAAATCTTCGACGATCCATAAATGCTTGTAATGCGTTTCGATAAGATTCACTGAAATAATCGCAAAATCAAATTGTAAATCAATTCATTTGTTGGTTGCAATTGTTAAGATGACTTTTCACCATTTCAAATTACCCGCCAATCGTTCATCTTATTTTTCTTACTCTGAGAATATTTTAAACTTATTCATTTATCATTCATTTGTTTTTGTTTTTTTTTTTAATTGAAATATATTTGAAAAGTTATGACAAATTGTTGCCACGATAATATTATAAAGAAACAGTACTTTTCTCTTTATCCTAACATTTGACAAATTTCATTGCAATTTTAAACCATCTTTGTTGTACTCAACAATAATTATCTCGTAAAAAAGCGGTAGATTCAAAGAAAAAATTATGCAATAAAATTACATTAAAGAAAAAAAATGATATTATTCATCGTTAATATAAAAAAGATCGTCAATTTGTTAAACAAATTATACTCTAGTATTAATAATCGAATAAATGCGATCGTTTAGCAGTGGTATTCAATCTTGATAATTGAACAAAACAAAAAAGAAAAATCAAATGATAAATTGTACATCGAAGGAGGTTATGCCGGCTTCTTTTTGATTAAAAGAAGATAACAACTTACGCGGTTTCATCTGAACAGCTTGTCCTTTGTCGTCGTTTTTTTATATTGTAATTTGTTTTATAAGAAGCCGACATTTTCTTTTCTATTTTGTCTAACAAATTTTGTCACTCTTTTTTTTTTTTTTTTTTTTAAATATTTCTTCTCTTCATTGAAATTCAATAGAGTCGATTATATTAATTAATTCGATAATCGATGAACGATGGCACCACCGGTAATAATACGACTTTAATCAAATTTTTGTGAAAACCAATCAGATTAATTGCAAGATTCAATCTTATTGGTTAACCAATAAAAATTAAGAAATCATTTCGAAATGCGAGTGATCTTATTGGTTCATTTTAATTTGAATGTTTCATTGGATTAATTAGGACAATTACAGTATACTTTATGGTGTAATAATATTCAAACTTACTTTGGAAAAATCGGTTGCTTCTCGGATAAACTTTGTCTTCTTCTGTCTCTGTAACCAATATCCCTGTAAGTAAGTGTATTATAATAACTATAATAATAAATAATAATAACCGTATTAATGACCAATTATATCGAACAGTCAAAATAATAATAAAGTCATTTTAAATGTAGGAAAAAATATGTTGACGGTTAAATGAATGGCGGACTTTTCAATTTTTCCTCATCAAATTTAAATGATTATTGCGATCGTCAACTTTCTCTTATCCTACTAATCTTTTTGTTTCGGTATTGTGTTGTATATAAATACGTTCGACTATGTAACTTTACGATTTCATATATAAAACTAGTTTCACATATTCTAATCTCTATTTTAATCTCTTTTATGCATAAGTTTTAAAGTTAGTTATATACAGAGTGTCTCAAAAGTAGTAGCTTCATCGAGAAAAGAAAAATGTGACATTGGTTTAATAATAGAATTAATATCATTTATATTTTTCAGTTTGAAAATGATTGAATTAGCATTTACGAATAGAACGTGGGTGTTATTCTCAATGGGAGTGACACTTTTACCAAGATGTCAATCTAGGATAACAATATTGTTAATAAAGTATGGCACCAGAAAGTAACCACTCTAAATTTTGGTAAAGCAACTTTTAATACACTCTCTCTCTCTCTATATATATATATATATATATTTATATATTGTTGTAGGTGTTAGACACGGAAGACAAGTTGAACTAGTTATTAAATTCGATATGCATATGGAGGTTGTATAAATTGAAGTACGTTCGGTTCATTCATTCATTACTTGAATCTTAATAAAGCTTTCTCTATCAAGTACATTGGAATACTTGATACATGTTAATTATGTCATTGAATTTATTTTCAACATCTATATTATTGCTACTAATATTAACGGGGATATTTTAATATGGTAATCCAAGACATACGTGTTTAATACTGTGTGTATTAGAACAACAAAGTTTAGGCAAACTTATGTTAGAAAATACTTTGCATGGTGGTGGATAAAACTCCTGTTATAAACAACTGTTTTTCGTGAGAATTAAGAAGAGAAAGATGTTAAGATCTTGCGATCTTGATTTTTTCGTGGCAAAGGATCACAAAGGGTCACTCGAGCGAGTCTAAGATCTTGAGAAAAGTAGGTAACTGTTAAATTCTTATTCTATTCTATTCGAAACAAACGATTATGTTCCGTTTCCGTTCACGAAATTTATGACGTTTTAAAAACATTCACTTTCTCCTATTATCCTCTTTTTTCTTTTTTTTTTCTTTTTTTTCTTTTTTTTCTTTTATTGATCGGAGACGAACAAATGATTAATTCCTTTTAAAAGTATTTTAATTTGAACCTTTTAATTTGATTTATACGATAGATCCAAATGAGCGAATAACAACGGAACCTGTTCTAACGATCGGACTGCTACTTCATTATGTTTGAAAAAATAAAAGGAAGAAGATAAGAGAGAGAGAAAGAGAAGTAAGTGTTCTTGTATAAAATAATGAGATAATTAATACACATACACCGATTGTATGCATGTGTACGTATACACGATCTTGAAATTTCGTATAAAACTGTACTTGAGAATAAGATTTGTTTAATGTCATTTTTTTTTTGCTTTCAAAGTTTCTTCAATAGAATTACTTTAATAAAGGAGATATTTAGGTGATCTCATTTAGCTACATTGAATATAAACATGTAAGAAAGAGAATTGATTCTGGTAACGGTTTAAGAGTAACACGTAAAATCTAAATCACAGCAGGTGTTCTTGTTCTTTTGGGCCACAACAATAATTAGCCCGTGTCTTTGATACGCTTGAAAATTTTTCGGACACTTTTACCGGAACGTTAAAACATTATTAAAGTCAACACTTAAAAATATCAAATAAATCAAATAAAAAAGCAATTATTTTTTTTATTTTTTTTTAATAACATTTTCAACTTTATTATACCATATAATGGCTCAATATTTTTATTAGGAACAATAACCACGGTAATTGCTTTATAAATAAATAAAAAATGATTTTTTCGAAATCATACTTCGTTATATTTAATTTAAAATAGAATGATATTACACACACACACATAATAGCAAGTTGAACGAGTTTCGTTTTTGTTATCATCTTAACTTGACGCAAACGTAAACGTCCTTCACCTTTTAATCATGATGTTATAATGCAAAAATACACATTGCTTACTTAGTATGAACCGTGATACTCGTAAAGGATAAGACTAACGTTAGATTCTAATGAAAGTTACGGCGAACCTGTTCTTTTCCTAGGAATTAATATATATATATAGGTATATGTACACATAAATGCATAAAAGAGCAAAGTATATTGATATAAATTTGCTAAACGAAATGAGAAAAGTTAGTAATTTGATAAGCTTCATATATTTTCGAGTCAAAGGGTCATATCGCTCTGTATTTGATTTGAATTCTATACACGTTAATCTTCGCGAATTCTATATTTCAAATTTATTTCTATATATATATATATGAAATACCAGATCTCCAAGTGAAAGTTTCATATGTTTAATATTATACGAATTTATAAAACAAAAACAAAAAAAATTCAAATGATATATAAGAACAATTAATGAAAGTTCTATTAGTTAGATTTATTTTTGAAACTATTGTAAATTGTTTAGGAGGTATAATTAACTTACTTTCTGAGCCATTTCAATACACTCATCACTCCCATCTTGCATGTGACAACAGAGAGCAGTCTCTCTCTCTCTTTCTAATTGTAATATTCACTGATTTTCTTTTATAATCGTTTATTTAAAAAAAAATGATGATTTTGGTGAATAAACAAACGAACGATAGATCGACTATTTGTCTTGCAACACTTTGCGATCGTCTGACGGTAAACATTTGAACGTTTCCTCGCACTGCTAACGTTTGCTCTTCTCTTTCTACTCCCCCCACTTCAACAAAACTTCCCCCCTCAGTCCATCTTGCTTATTTGCTCTTGAAGATGAGCCATAGAGGATTATTTGTGTGTTGTTGTTGGTGTTCATACTGTTCATACTTTTGCACGTTACTACTTCTGTTCTTCTTATTAAACGTTCTTTGAATTTTAATGTAAGTTTTTGTCTAACGGTCTTCTTCTTCTTCTTCTTCTTCTTCAATTCTATTACAAACTTATCTACATTTTTATTGATTTTTATTTATCAATTTTCATTATAACAACATTATTGAAATTAATCCGATACTTGTATGAATAATTAAATCCAGAATAATTGAAATATTTTATAGATCAACATTGATAGAATTAATTGGTCACTTTAAATCTACGTAGATATATTTTATTAGAACGAATCAGTTAACATAGATTAAAATTATTCTCAATTATTCGTCAAGTTAAAGTAAACTGGCTGGACTTATTCACAGTAAACTCTGTGCAATGTATATTGAAGGCGTACGTTGGAATTTATATTCATTTCGGTCGGCTTCTTTTAACTAAAACGTCTGACTTGATTTCGTGTACGATATATAAACCAAGAAGAATCACAATTTATATATACAGGGTGTCTCAAAAGGTCAAGACCAAATTTATTAATTAAGTCAAGTAGGTCAAGAAAGTTCATATCGTTTTTGGTAATCAAAATTTCAATTGTACAAACAATATTCAGGTTTCATATGAGTTTTTATCATTTCTGAAAATTGTAGGACACCCTGTATGTATACTTAAATACGCATAACAGGGGAATTAGGATGGTCAAGCATGATCAAGCATAGATTCAAGTAGTTTCGTCAATTAACAATAACTTGATAAAAGCATTTATTTATTTGCCAATAATTTATACAAGTAATATTATCACAACATGTTAATAAAAAAAATCAATAAATTAACTTAACATTTATATATACACATAGAATATTTTGTAAAATTTCAATAGAATAACGTAGATATAGAAGCAAGTAAACTATGAGAATACTGTTTTATGATTATCTTTCTTTTTGTCTTTTTGTTTTTTTTTTTTTGGGAACTGATGTTTTTAACTTCAAGGTGCTTTCATTTCTTGTTTCACGCAATATTTAAATGCCTCGCGACCTTCAGTTCGTGGCTGAGACTACAAAGTATGAATAAAAATCATAGTTTACATCGTGTTATCTCGTGTTGTTAGGCTTTTTACAAAACTGGATTTTACTACATTGAACGAAAGTCAAGATATTTTGTCATCAAATTTCCTTAAATTTATTCAAATATGCTTCTATTTATATACTTATTTTCATTATTTTTCTGGTAGAAATAATTTATTATAATTAATAATCTACGTCCAATAGAAATCCAGCTGTAAAAGTATGACAAAAATATTAGAAAAGTTTAAGAAAGGTGGAAGAAGAAATGGGTGCCCCCTAACGAACGTTGTCCCGTCATACACCGGCGTATTTCAGCAAATTTTTAATCTAAGTTACAGGCGTTTCGTACAAATATGAGAATACTTTTATAGGAACAATTGAGGAATTAAAAATGATAGGATTATTAAGAAAAAAAACGATTAGGTGATTTATTTTCTTGTTTATACCTTAAATCCTCTTTTAAGCCGATCTTTCATAATCGCAATGAACTCTTTGTAGGACAATTGTCCATCACCGTCCTCGTCAAATAACGCAAAAACGGTATCCAAAATATGCGAAGAAAGTACAGCACCGGTACATATTTTAACAGCTCGTTGAAATTCATCTAAAAATAGTACAATTTCCAATAGCATTGATATTTATTTTCTATGAAAATGAATTGATTTTCATGTCTACTACCTTTAGAAATTGGATGATCAGCGAGAGTATACATTTGCATGGCTATTGAAAAATCATCTAAATTATTTAAAAATTGATAGAAACGTCTGAACTCGTCAAAAGTTATACCAATGTTTAAATCAGATCGATCCATCATTCTATCCAAATATTTGTCAAATCTGTAACAACATTTATTCGCAATATTTCAACAACATCTATATGGAGAATGAAATTGTGAATGTAATTAACGTCTTAAGTAAGTTCCTTACTCTTCGACATCCAATTGAGTATATCTTAGAAGAATTTTAGCAAAATCCAATTCGTTAATCGTATCATGACCTTTACTAAATTCATGAAATTCCAATTCTAATACCTCGTGTTGCAAATTTTCCATGAAACGACGAAAATCGTCGTATTTTAATTCATAGTTACCATCTTTTCCAAAGAAATGTATCATCAGGGTTGTGTCTACTGCATGACGTCGTTGTAAGCCCTATTATATCCCGTAATTAAACCAAAAATAACAATCTGATGGTTAAGTTAATTTACGCCTTATTCAGGATAGGAATAAATACAATTCACAAGGATTATTGTTGAGGATTTGATTGCTCTAACAAACTATTGATTTCATAATCGACGTTGATTTACTTTGAATACAATGCTTTAGTTTCTTTCAATACCTGATCATCATTAATGAACTGTCCTTGGATTTCTTCTGGACTTGTTTGACGTTGATTCAAATGTTCCAACTCGTTTTTCGTTTCAATACCATGACGTCCTCTCCATGCATGACTAAAGACTTTTTCCATCTGCATTGTATGCACATTTTCAACATTAAAATATATTTAAGATTAGGGTTTTTTTTTTTTTTTTTATTAATTGTTAGAAATAAAGCGTATATGTTACCATTAAAGTCTATAATTATGTTAATTCCTGAAATAAGTAAGCATTTTAGGGAAAGCATGTAAAAAGAATTTCATTAGACACATTCAATTAGTTGTTTTTGTATGAAACGTGTAGTTAGAGATTATGAGATTGAAATCCAAATAATTGAAGAAAAAAAACACACACACATCACTGTACGAACTTACATAAGAGCCAGGGACGAAAGTATCGTTCTCGTTTGTTCGTTCATTTGCATTACGAAGTTTAATACTTGCTGCATTTTCTTCTTCATTCGGTGTCAGTATTTGTTGCAACTGACATTTTGAAATGAAAACAATAATAACATAAGTAATGATAATCGCTAGATGAAACTTATTCAAAATGAATAGAATTGAACTCCAATAAACGTGCCCTATGTATAATATTTAGTTAATATGAGTTAGTAGCTTTGTTTCGATTTTCTAGGGGGAGGGGAGGGGAGGGGAGGGGAGGTTTGTTTGTTTGTTAAAATCATGATTGCATTCGTTAAGAATTAATTGTTGAGATTTTGTATCGTCAAAACTCACTGCACGTTTCGTAGTTTCGTCTAGATCACGTTTCTTCAAGCTTCCACCCAACAATCGTCGAATCTGCGAAAATTTTAGATGACAATTTTCTCTATATTTACAAATAAAAAAAAAAAAAAATAAAAAAAAAAAAGAGAGATAGTACTGTTGAATATTTCCTTTATTTTTCCTGTTCAACTAAAATTTTCGTTTGACGACGACGATTCTATCAACTACGAGCGCTTATCTACATTTTTTGTTCAATTAATCAAAAGCAAAGAATCATAATTAATAAAATCTTCTTACACTTAGTTACTGTAAAACGATGATTTAATATTTCTACATAAAGAACACACAGGCACAACATTAAACATGCAAAGAAAAATCAACAGATATTTAATTGAAATATATAATTGAATATATAGCAAAGACACACATACAAAATGATTGTATCATTTTTGAAAAAAAAAAAAAAAAAAAAATCCCTTAATGTTTATCCATTAATTCATATTTATATCGAAATAATTAAGATTAACAAATGTTTTATGAAAAATTTCTAAATTGCATGTAAAAGTATTAGAAAATTTATTAATAGAGATAAGCTTTTAACTTGAGGAGAGTTTATTAGATACGATCATTTATAGTGTCACATTTTCTTCTTATTTATAAGATAATCATTTCGTAATCACTCGAAATATGTATAATTAACGATAAGAAATTCTTTAGATAATTCTTACCACGAGGAACTCTGTCTTATCCACACGCTCGTTGCCATCGGTATCGAACATGTTGAAAGCAATGTGAAAACCAGTTTTTGGCTCTGCAAGAAATTGATCATAATAAAAGTAATAATACTAATAATAATAATAATAATAATAACAAGAAGAAGAAGAAGAAGAAGAAGAAGCAGAAGAAGAAGAAGAAGAAGAATTTGGATTCGTGTACGTATCGTATGAAATTATTTCAATTACTTCGTTAGCTACATTTGATTTTATTTTAATTAGAAATTGTATAGACTTTATAGTGTATACAACAATTTTCTGTATTCATGTTGGGCTCAAAACTTTTCAACTGGCAGTAAGGTGTTAGTTTGAACACCTTGTATATAGATGAAACAGTAATTATTAAACTTATCTGTCTTTTGGACCACCAAGGATAATAACATATATATATATATATAATACTTCCGCAAATGTTACGAGATAATTCGTGCTGATCTTTTTATTTGTTTTATAATATATATATATGAAAAAAGTAATTGATCTATGTATCATCTTCTTCGTAGCTATCTCCGACAGTGAAAAGTTTAATAATGTAGACGTCGTTAACCGACATAATAACTACAGGGAACTCTTTGCAACTTGAGATATCTTCTTAAATAAGAAAGATGACTAACGTGAATGCACACACACTCTCTCATGCTCGCGTTTCTCCCTGGATGTCATCATTTTCAAAATGAGATGAACACAAGTGTTATCGGTGAAAGAGACTGAGAGAGATAGATAGAGAGAGAGAGAGAGAGAGAGAGAGAGAATAGTTTCTTTGTAAGATCATCCAAGATAGATGAATACATCATTTTCTTATACTTAATTTCTACCTTTCTCTCTTTCTCACTTTCTCACTTAATAATACAAAGAGTATTCCTATGCACACGTGTATACAAGGTGGTTCAATTGCATCCATTACATTTCATTTTGTTTACTTTTCAAATGGAAATTCATTCGTTGAACGAATTTTATTCTCATCAAAATACCACATACGTTTGTTTTATTACTGTGAAAATAAAGTTGATATGTTTGTTAGATTTTGAGAAGACAGGTTGTTGAAAGATTTTATTTGAATCACCTTATATATACATACATGTGCGTGTATGTGTACGCGTATTTCTTTGACTATTAACATAAGTGGAAAAGTGAGAAAATGAGTTTGTAACACTTTATTCGACCTATCGTGTATATCCAAATATATACAGGTTGTTCCAAACTTGGATGGTTCGATAAATTTCATTATTAGTTTTTTTTTGTTTTAGAGGATGTTTGTCGTTTGAGACACTCTGTATATATATATATACTAATGTAGGTTTTTCTATGGCTAGCTAGCATGTATGTAATATATCGAGACGTGTAATTTTCTTCACTAAATTGGTATCGAACGAGCAATGTATTAACGTTGAACTTACTTGTCAGAATGGATAGAAGAAACAGGTACTCCGTGTAAGAAATTATACCTGAAAACGTGAAAAGGCTTGTAATTAATGTTATTACATTCTAAATGATTCTTCTAATAAAACGACACACTCGCACACACACATACACACACACGCGCTGACAATTCTTACGTGCAAGCGTAAGTAATTATTCAAGTTTGACTTATTATTAGGACAAAAAATTGAACAGATGATGAATCTTTATCAATTTTGGATAGGATTGCTGCTTCGAAGAATATTAAAATGACGAATTTAAATCATTTCAATGTAATTCATTATCGACTTAATCCCATAACATTTATTATTATTATTATAAAGGATAAGTAATTATGCTTAAATTAAAATTCTTAATTGTATCTATCGGAATATAAATGTTCAATAAAATTCCTAAGAAAAAAAAGGTGTATAATAAAAAAAAAAAAAAAAAGAAAAAGAAACAAATTAGACACACCTCATAAGTTTAAAGGTATTTTTGAAAAAAATTTCATTTCCATTTGATAGAACGCAATAGCCTTTCACAATAATTTAATACTACAATCCTCGAGCAAGCATCTCTTCTTCCAAGTCTTTTTTTGATATCCAAATAAAAGTATGTGTGAGTGTGTCGGTAAACCTTTTATTCGTCCCACGTTTACTATACTAACCGTGATTCAAAGTTCTAGGTAAAGCAAAGCCTAGCGTCGTCGTATCGTTTCACACGTCCATAACCACCCCATAAAATGTTGTTTAGGATTAGAAAAGGAAGGAAGGAAGGCGGGGTCTTCTCCCATCTCCCATCAAAGATGAGTGAAAGTCGACCGATCTCGGGTCGAAAGACAACCCCCTCACAAATTTTCTTCTTATTATTCTTCTTCTATTACGAAATACATTTCAAGTATAGTAGATTATTATTTTGCGTTTGCATCGGTTTCTCTGTTAAGTTTTTCGATAAGAGAGAGAGAGAGAGAGAGAGAGAGAGAGAGAGGAAGGTCGAATCTTTACGGTTGAATCTTTCGAGTCGTTTATAATCGTTTATAATCGTTTATAATCGTTTACGATTATATACCAAGGTGGATATCTCTTAAAAGTAGTAGTATCTATCCCGCAACTCGAACTCGTTTATCTGCCAAAGGAATTTCTGGCTCGTGACACGCATGCGTGCACGCACTCGAAAGATACAGAAAGAGAAATAAACAAAGATGCAAGAAACTCGTTATATTAAAGGGAGGTGTGAGACTGGTTTCCTTCCCAACCACCCCTTCTCAACCCCTTCCCAACCCCGTTTATAAACCATCATCCTTGTCCGCGACTATTTGCATTTCCATTAGCGCGACAAACGTGAGCCGAACGCGAAAATCCTCCTCCCAACGTAGCTTTCTTTTTTTATATTTCATCTATTTTTAGCCAAGTTTTAGGAATCTTCCTTCTAATGTTTCTATCATTGAATAATTAAACAAGCTTGAAAAAAGTCAATCTTCTTCTATTCATCTTACCCTTGTCTCTCAAGCCTCGAAACATGTGCGGACTTCCATGGCGTAGCGAAGGTATGGCGTTTCCCATCACTTCTAATTCCTTATCCGACAACACTCGTCTCTTCAATCTCGCTGAAAAAACAACAATCTTCTCTGTGATTTTATTTTCGCTCAAGATCAAAAGATTTGACGATTGACGATCTTAACGACAACCACTACCCCCCCACCCCCACCCCACCCCCTATCCTTCAAATTATTTTAACAAATTCCATCACTAAATAATCTGTTTTTTATCTTCTCGTATTTTTAACATTCCCATGACCTTGACTTTCTTCAAAAAAAAAAAAAAAAAAAGATATCAGGCGACGAGGAATGATGTAAAATTATTTGTTGATAAAAATGCATCGGATAATAATAATTGATCGTAAGATGAATTTAGATGAAAATATTTGATGCCATTGGTTATTAAGATTGGATGAGATTATTAAGATAAATTATAGTTAAATATGTTTGCACGTTTTTGTGCGCGTGTAGCACTCACGTCTTGGTTCGGATTCAACGACGCTGTCAAGAAAATCTTGCGGAGTCATATACAGTTGTCCATCATACTCGACCGATGCAAACTTTATAAATCTTCTTTCCCTCATCGTTAGTTTCACGGCCTTCTGTAGCTCATCTTCTCGCTAAAACGTGTAATTAAATTATACCATTGCCATTAAATTAGGTTTTTCATTTGATGTCGTTTAAGGACAATGCAACGAGAGTTTATGTCACGAGCTTTTAAATAAGTTGTAACAGACAACATCTTTTATTCAAAGAGAGTCTCCACTTGAAAAAATTCACGCAAATAAAGTTGTCACAGAGAGAGAAAGAGTGTAACCAGTGTGCCTACACTTTGACATCCTTTTTACCATTCTTTTCTTCAAGGTCACTCGTTTTTATCCTTACAGTAATGTTTCTCTCCCACGCGCACTCTATTTTTAGATTTCTTTCTAATTCTCTCTTAGTCAAGATACATTATAAAAAGATGATTAGATTTTCAAAGCATGACATATTAATAATAATTTTTGACGAATATCAAAGGGAAGAAGTTTCTTTTTTTTTTTTTTTTTTTTTTGAAAGTAGGTAGATTTGAAGAAATGTTACAATCTCCATTTGTTGTTCTACCACGGTGTTAACTATAATACCACCATCGGAACCTACCTTTTTATCGCCTCGAGCTGACATTTTTAATGGGGAGAGAAAGATAGATAGATGATTAGATAGATGGATAGATAGAAAGAAAGAATGAAAGAAAGAAAGAAAGAAAGGAATGAAGATTTGCGATCCGTTGAAATTAGAAAATGTAAAGTAACCTTTTTGAAATGCCGCTTACGAGGAACTCTTTGTTAATCCTCCTTCGAGGTCAATTTCGCTTGACCAAACATAGGTCTAACTTATTACGAAAGATATTTCCTATATATATAGTGTACAGGGTGTCTCAACTTATTTTTTTTTTCCTTCACAAATACCTGTAAACACAATTCAAATACAAAAGCAATCTGAATATTTGTCAAAGTCATTAAACCCTGTGTTTATTTGAAAGTAGTTTATACAATTGTACATTAGATTATTCATGTAATTAGTTCTACGATAGTAGGACTTTTTATTTGATACTTTAAACAAACACACGGTATATATATCTTAGGCTTGAATTTTGAAAAGGGTTATTTTATTTCTATGGGATTCGGCAATACGTCAATAAAGAAAACGATTCGGGTGATCGTTGCGAACGAGGATATTTCCGCGAGAATGAATTTATGTTTGTGGTATACTCGTAAATCCTGTTCTGGGTTGTCTCTATCTGTATCTTTCTCTTTCTTTCTTTCTTTCTTTCTTTGTCCTTGTTTCGTTTCTTCAGCTCAGTTAACGCGAGAGACATCCGGGAGATTTATAGACTATGCTCGTAGTATCTCTCTCTCTCTCTCTCTCTCTCTCTTTGAAAATAAACATAAAAAATGAAGAAAATCGAGATACATTCACGTTTTACGCGTACCGACATGGAGTATCTGCAAAATAATCGTGTACAACCTTTTTCTAATTTTTATTACAAAATGTTCTTCCCCTTATCTCTTTTTCATTACATACTAATACTGTTTAATTAGTTATTTATATATATACAGGATATCTCAAAACTGTAGTATTGAAAATATTTTCTAACAAGCAAAGTTTCAAGTTTTTCGTTGATCCACTTGACCTCATTAACTTATGCTATATATAAAATTTGACTATGATCTTTTGGGACACCCTGTATATTCACGCTATGTATCTCATTATGCAGGCAAAACGCTTACAGCATCACGTAGGGAGACATTAATCTTCTCGGAGTGCTTCGACGATGTCAAAAAATTGTACTCCGGTATATAATATCTGTGTAAATGTTTGTGTCTGTGTGTGTGTGTGGAAGGGGGGGGGTATTGGTTGAACGTGTCGTGATCTCTTTTACGAATCACGCTTGAATTTATCCTAAGAAAGAAAGTGTACTGATAAAGAAAAAGAAAAAAAGAAAACAAAAAGAAAAAAAGAATATTTATATATAAAATAAAAGTAAAGAAGAAAGATGGAGGATAAGAAAGTTCCACCAAGTTGGCTGTTTTCGTTTTAAGTAGAATCTCGTTCGATCAATATTCCGGACAGGTTCCTTCCTTCCTTCCTTTCTTTCTTCCTCTTCGATATCCTTCGGTGAAACGAACCCGAGAGAGGAGCTCACTGTTGGCACATCCTTTGCGTGCCTACTGGATCTGGAAGGGTGTTGGGCCGGCATGTTAGCGGCCGACGTAATGACAGGCGCGGTGAACATTATGCTAAGTGTGACCATTTCTTTTTTCTTTTTCTTTTTATTTTTGTTTTTGCCTTGTCCCTACTACTACTACTACTACTACTACTACTACTACCACTACTACCACTACCACCTTCCTAAATCCTGTCTTTACATCTAACACTACTATAAGATTAGATAAATACAAAAATCATTCCTATTAAGAATCCTAGAATTACTATAGATTGGAATCGCACTTCCTTTAAATAGAAATACCATAGATAGGGACAATTAAAAAGCACAAGTATGTACATAAATCTTTCAATAATATTTCTTAGAAATGTAATCCCAAAGTCTAAGGGAACATCGATGCAATCATTCTCGAAGATTGCAATTCTAATCAATGCGTAATGATTTATGTTCTCATAAGTTGAAGAACTCGTTACGATTGGATGGATACGATAACTAATTAAATCGATCTTTCTAAGCTCTTACCAGGTTCCAACTGCCCTTCTTCTTCTTCATCCTAATTAAAAAAACAAAAAAACAAAAAAGAAGGAAAAAAAAAGAAAGAAATAAGCGAGCATGATTGCACTTAAACATCGTTTCACGATATTATAGCTCGTATCGAGGTGCGAGAACGAGACGAGAGAGAGAGAGAGAGAGAGAATCGGTTTCTCGTTGAACCGTATAATCATTTAACGTTGTTCATTTTGTGAATGCTGTAAGAGAGAAAGAAAGAGGAAGAAAGGGAAAGGGGTAAAGAGAAATGTTGCCGGAGAGAATCATATCATTCGCACCTGTCCAATTGCTGTTCGCACCGGCACGATCGTCGCAGACACCCGCCAGAAGCGCAACAGATTTATAAAATCCAATTTGAATAACGAGATGCGTGAAGTGTTAATATTCGCCCGCCACTGAGATCATCTCTTTTTCTTATACGTGTACTTACACATGCGACTCCCTACACAATTACAGGTATAGTTTGCTGCTATAATATGTAAAGCCAAAATTGTAATGGCTACAGCTGATACTTTTTTCCCTCGATATATTTTCAACCTAGTGGTTATGTATTATTACACGTACAACAGATTAACAACCTAAATTATTATGCGCATCATTTAGAAATATTATCATTTCTTAATATATGCATTTTTAGGTATACTTTCGATAAAATAATGTTAAGGCACAATCATATAACAAGTGAAATAGGAAAAATATGAAAATCATTGAAGCCATGCACAAGATATGTTGTTGCAGGGAGATGCAAAATCATCTATAACACGTAAATACGCGATCACTTCTGCAGTATAGAGCAAGTTACGTACATACATACATACACGGATACCTTTGCTCCCTACCCCTAGCTCATTTTCTTTCACTCTTTCCTTATCTATCTTGAAGAAGACTCCTTTGCGTTCCTTAAAGGTATACCAAGCAAGCAAGCGATCGAGCGAGCAACCTTACCTGCATAATGTTTGGTATGCATGGCCCCATGATTACGGATCACCATAGTACTTAACTGCTGAGGTAGAAGATCATGGTATACGTATACATATACATATACCATGGCGCCCAGATTACTCGAGATAATTGAAATCGGATAACGAGTACGACGAGTATAAATGCGAATCTAGTTGGTAGAATTTTATCCATGGAAAATATCTTCGTATTTGAATGACATGTTGTTTCATGTCGCAATCATTCGATCGATCGACTTGTAATGTTCAATGTGAATTTTATTCGATAGAAATGCTTCTTACAAGCGTATAAATCAAACGTAGAGTTATTACAACGAAAGAGTTACTTGCATACTGGATATGTAATTTTTCTTTCAACGAATAAACTAGGGTGACTTTAAACGCGTTCTCTATACAAGGTGCTAATAAAAAGGGTTGATGCAATATTTTATGAGCTTATAGTAGGATAAGGTTACTCAAATCGTACCTTTCAACTTATTATCAATCATCACATCAAGTTATCCTATCAACAGATAACTGCTGTTCGTGCAATCATATTAATAGAAAATAATAATATTTCAAGATTTAAGGGTTGAATTAGAACAATAGTAGATAAAATACTATCACGAGAGCCCCTGTGGCCTAATGGATAAGGCATCGGTCTCCTAAACCGGGGATTGTGGGTTCGAGTCCCACCAGGGGTAGTAAATTTACTTTTTTTTTTAACTTTCAATGCAGATCATTGCTAATGATATTTTCACAAATGGAATATAACTACTTGATCCAATTATTATCTTATGCATGGACTAATGTTTAATGAACAATAACTTTAATCGTAAAACTTCAATGAAGATTTATTTTCAAAGTGTAAAAGTAATAAATAGCGTTTTAAGGGGGCCTGACATCGTTCGTCCTGTTGTTATAATATGCACAACCGAGAGAGATAGATAGAGAAGGCCCCTTAAGGGACGAATAAAGTATCCTTACTTTATTACTTATTGCTTGACAAACTAAACCAAACAAAAGGGGGAAAAAAAGAAAGGAAGAGTCCGATTGATAGCTGGGTGGTCCTAACGGCTATAATTTAAGGGTGGTCTCGATGAACTCGCATGATCACGAATCTCTATGCGTCTTTCTCGCATACATTCTCACATGCTACACACGCACACGTCCTTAGCTCGGGTTAGAACACGGGAGCGATAAAATCGATATCTTCAACAATTCTATCGCATAGTAGTAGTAGTAGTAGTAGTAGTAGTAGTTTAAAGTTATGGTACATTTTCTTTCGAATCTTTAGTTTAAAGGACACGACAGCAGTGGTCTCTCTCTCTCTCTCTCTCTTAACGATTTAAGGCTAAATTCTTTAAAAAATCCTTTTTTTTCTGGACCTGACAAGGACAACGCATTCACAGGATGATTCATCCAACTGCGTTATATAAATTATTAAGAAAATGTCTCTACTGTATAAAAAGTTCAATGACGTAATCATTCATTTACATTTACTTTGTTTTTCAACGTACATACTTTAATAGATTTTCCAGTGCAGTAAGATAAATCAGTCTGTACACGCGCATACATGCCATTGTGTTAGGGTTCTTTTCTTGGACATACGCACACATAGAGACAAATCTACACGTGTGTAGGGGTATTCTTAGGTTGACGGAATCTTGTAGCAACTTTTGCTATCAGATCGTGCGTTCGATCGTGGAAGATCGGGGAATAAATGATTGCATATCTTTTTCTTTATCTATCCTTTCCGAAGAACGATAACAGTTACTGGAGTTTGTAGAAAAGAGGCATAGAAAAAAGTGGGTCCAGTGATTTGTAGCCACGCACGCGAAAGATTCGATCTCTATCTCAACACACGCGCGTATGGGGGGATACACTGTATATATATGTAGATACTAATGTATATTGGATTTAGAGAAAAGTAATTTCGTTAGTTCTTACTTGAAATCTCCGAATGAATTAACAATGAAGATGCACTTTTTGTAACAGTACATATAGTAATGCAAGAAAGAAAATATATTACAGTGTTTAAATAAGATGTTTGTTTGTAAGAGATACGATGGATGTTACTCGATTTGAAAAAGTAACAACCAATTCGATTTCCAAGCTTGTCTCTCCGACACCGTATACGTATATGTTCCTACGGACATTTAAACCATGTACCTTTGAGTTTATAGCGTCCTTCAAGGTAAAACACGACGGTAGCCTTCTATTCAAGTATAGAGTATAGTTTAATCTGGACAAAATGAAAAGTTGAAAAGTTGGAAAAAGTAAAAATAGAAAAAGAAGAAAAATGTTAGAGTGTAAAATAAGTTTGGTCTCTCTTGGTATAGGTTGTCTCTGGATGAGTTAATGCAAATGAGACGAAGGTAGGCGATTCGTCTAAATTAATTAACGCTGTGGTCCGTAGCAGCGTGAAATTAGCGCGAGTGCGTGGGATGCTTTGGAACGAGTAGCTATTAGCGAGCTAATGGCCCAATACCACCCTACGCGCATAAATACATACACGGGGGAAGGGGGAAAGGTGAGTTTAGTTGTGTGCAGGATCACGTGTTACCAGGCTATGCATCAGCGACGAAACAATGCCGGGCTATAATTGAATATTTCCAGGGACTATGATTTAAGAATAGCCCTTTGGCCATCTTGTTATTTATTTTTTTTCTTCGTATTTGCCTTCGCACTCCTTACGCGCAACCCTGACGCAATCCTACGTGCGATAAATAATCAGCCCCTTTTGGTGCTCTTCTTTTCACGTTATAACACCAGCCAATTACTCTTTTGTTTTTTGTTTTTGTTTTTTTAACGCATTTTTTTCTACACTAATTTTCTTCTTCCTTCTCGATTGTTAAATCTACAAGATTTCAAATTTGGCTCTTATAAGGTGGATCAAAAGTACTCGATAATGATCGTAGAAGAAAATGTTGGGTCTACCTTGTATATTTGTGGATAAGAAAAAATGTGAAAAGCACAACTGGTTTCGTTTGGTTGGTTAATCTTAATAAAAAGTTATTAAGTTACCTGGTAGTAACTGTGAATATTTTTGACTTTAAGTGGCACTCGCGGCATTTCTTTGATTTTTGACAAAAGTTCATAAGGTCAAACGAAAATTGGGAATGGAATTTCTTTTTCTCGGCAAACAAGACACGCGGAAACTTTCGAAATCGACTAATCACAGAGTTCTTTGGGAGAGCGATAATGGAGAGCGATCATTCCACGATGCCGAATTTGTTGTTTCCTTCCTTTCTTGCACGCAAACACACGCCACGCGGGAGGTCGTCGAAACACACGTTTCATTCCGAACGTGTTATTACTATTACGAGTCACTCTGCACGCGTCTCACACGAATCTTTCCCAATCAAAAGAAAAATAACGAAAGCTTCTTGAACATCGTAGAGAATAATTCTTCTTGCAAATTCCAAGGAAAGATTAGATATTCTTTTTCTATTATTATTGTGAACACTTGTAGCATTCCTGAATTGAAAAGTCTTTAGCGACAAAAAGAAATATTTCAGTATCTTTCATCTTTCCTTCATTCTTTCACCTTTTCCTTTTTCCATGGTATTACTATTCTTCTATGGCAGGGATTCTCAAAGATTCACTTTGAAGGGGGCGCTAAGTAATATATCTTTTGTGGAAACAAGGTGGGAGGATAGAAAAGTTTGTTGGGAACCACTGTTCTAGGATAAAGAAAAAGGGTCAGAAGCATGTGTTGTTGTCTGGCAGGTCACTAGTTTCATCAAGTTCATCCCTCTCCTAAACGTAAAATTCTACAAAAGGCTCTTACCAAAGAAGGAAGCCAGCTTCTCCATCACTTTTGTCCTACCTATCCAAGCTAACACTCGTATTTTTCAAGAAATCATATGGTTAACGTACAAAGTGCAAAGTACAACGTGCTCCTTTACTCGTATGAAAAGAAACAAGTGAAACACAAGATTAAACGGTATCATTTTGAATTTGTTTTAGATATTATACGATTTTACGATGGCGAGAAGATCATCTTTAAATGAAGAAGATTTGGCAAGATACGTTTTATTAAGTGCGGATCTAATTGACAAGTTCGATCCAAGCAACAATGAGTTTAATCGGTGGCAGCCGAAATTTATTAAAACGATGGAAGTACTTAATGTTCCCGAATATATGAAAGTGCCTTTCTTATTAGAATTAGTTGAACCACATGTTTTAGTCGAAGTTAGAAATATAACAGGTGTAAATGAGCTCCAGGAGTTAACATATGAAAAGCTTGCAAGTTTATTGCAAAGTCTTTTCAAATATATTACACTAGACGTTTTGTTTACTAAAACATTCTACAACCGAACCCAAAAAGCGAATGAAGGAGCAGTGAAATTTTTGAAATCGCTTCAAGAGATTGCAGATATTTGCAAATTTAATGCCCTTAGAGATGAGTTCATAATATCACAATTTATAAAAGGTATGAGATGCAAAGATGTACAAGTTATTATTAGGAAAATAATGACCATCCTAAGTATCAAAGACATGGAACGTATTGCCGAAGCAATAGACAAATATGAACAATCAGAGTCGAAAAATGATGGACAATGTTTATCCTCTGTTTTACAACAACTTAACATTCCTTTCAACTAATTTTTTTCTACTAAATATTATAAGATGTTTTATTAAATATTGTATTATTTGGTGCTACATTGAACACTTTGAGTAGAATTTGATTTATCGTTTAATAGGTAGGATAATAAGTAAGAAAGAAGGTGTAGTACTCAAACGATCGATCACTCTCTCACGTTGGAATTATCGAAGGTATCAAATCGCAATGGTGGTGGTGGTGGTGGTGGTGGTGCCTCGTTGGTGCCTCGTTGATGCCGAAGCGTGGCCCCCATGAGAGTCGAAAAGCAGCCTCGGGAAAAGAGAAGCTTGTTGTAGACAGTGTCGATGGGGCTTTTGCTAGTAGGAGGATCCAACCCATTAGTTACCTTAGCCGCTCGTCAAACATGCCTCGTCTGCATACGTAATGTGAGTTCATAATGTTGAACCACGTCTCACGTCTCACGTCTCACGTCTCACGTCTCACGTCTAGCGCCTAAAATCTACTTTGTTTCTTTTTATATTCTTTCATTCATAATTACAACTACCAACATACTTAAATTACATAAAGCATAATTAATTACCAAATGTCCAAGTGAAAGTTCATTTATGTAAATTTAACTTTCAAATTCTTCATCAATCACATTGAAACATTTTGAATCATGTATTTCCTGTTTTTCTCCTTAACTAGATCTTTGAAACTTAATCAAAAACTATAGATACACTTTTTATCTACATATGTTACGTAGCTACTTTATTATGAGTACTACATACAAATACACATATACACACACACACATATATATATATATATACATACATTATCTATATACGATCTAACCTCATTATCTTTCCAAGTTTCATTTATTTTTACATCGTTAACGCGACACGTGTACTACAATTATACAGGGTGTCTTAAAAGAAACTAGTCCAAAAATTGTTAACCATTTCACTTGTTGATTGTTGTATATTTCTGTTGATTGTTGTCTCGCTAAATTTCAGGACACCCTATGCGTAAATATATAATTTAACTATAGTTAGGAATGACGGAAGACGTTCAATAAAGATAATTGTAGATCTTAACGATTTATTCCAAGACCTCGGATCTCTGTCACTGTGCATCTACCATACATGTAACCAATCGATTATGGTATTTACTAGATTGTAACTGCTATGGTAAAAATTGGACTCGATATCGATTGCTTCATGACTACCTCAGGATGATATAATTTGACGTTCCTTTCCATGATTTATTATAACGATTCTCTAACTTCATCCTCTTCTAACTTTTATTCAAAGATAATCTTTGTCGGTACTATAATCTCAAGCCCTTTTTCCTATCGTACATGAAAATCTAAGCGGGATTCGTTCGATCATGATCAACTACAATTCCCCCATAGATTGCGAACATTATATATCTTCAATTTGATTTATTTTTATTTGATCTATTAATTTTTTGTCTTTAAAAATCGTTTTTTATACTAAGACGTTTCAATCTATTGCGTGAATTATTCTACAAGATATTTATACTTTTGCAAATGATTATAAGTTTCTTCTATGATTTTTCATTTTTTTTTTTTTTTATATCAAAATAATATTTAAAATCGATGATACCCTTCAACCTGAATATATTCTATAATATTTCAAAGAAGTCGTGATAAATATCCTTGATAATTCTACCATATGAGAGATAATATGTTGAAGATGTGCTCAAGTATTCATTTCGATGAAATTGTAACACGCCAGTATTAAATTCATCGATCCTATTTTTCTAAATAATAAATTATACTTGACAGAAAAATACTACAGATAGAAGAAATAATCAGAACAATTTTGTTCATTTTATAATACCCTAAGTAGAAAATTATAATTAAACACGAACGATTGAACTATGTTGAATGAAAAGTCATGAAAATAACATTTATACTAATATTTTTTTACCATAAATGAATATTAAATTTATTTTTCAAAAAGTATGTCACAATTTAATTAAAATCTTTCAATAAATTCTAACAAATCTCACATTTCTCAATTCTTGTTTTTTTTTTTCTTTTTTTTTCATTTGGAACAAATTCTTTTCATCATATATGTATATTCATTTATTTCCCTACATATCTATACATAGATTTATACATATTCTTATCACAAGGTCAATAAGTTTGTCAGAATGTAAATAAAACGTAATATACTTTTGCAAAATATATGTAAGAATGTATGTACATAAAGAGATATAATAATGTCAACGTTTTTCGACTACCACTAGTCCAACGAGTTTAGAATAGATAACATTTATATTTTACGTTCATTATTCATTCTAATGTGTATATATATATATATATATATATATTAAGTATATATACTTAAATATATATTTACCAGTGTATACATTAATATTCAGAGCAATGTTACCGCAATGTCTTCGTTATACTTTCAAATAAACCATGCATCTTTCTTTCTATTTTTCTCATGGCAATCGTTCTTACTGCATTGCAACCACCCACGCATATAAGATAACCCATGACTAAGATAGAACTACGTATAAAATATATATACAGTTTATATCCTAAACTTGTATCATACGTTAATGAGACTGACTGTATACACACAATCAATATTAAAATGTTTTATCAATGAATTAGAAACATTTCAAAATGACCAGAAAATGATATAATAGAATAAAACGTTATATGCATGTTAGATATGATGGCACATACAAGGAATAATATATTGTAATATAAATAAATGTGCGCATAGATTAGTAGACACGTCGCCATAACTAAAACTTGTACACATCCTCTTTTCTCTGTACAATTTACTAACAACATAAGCAATAAGAAAAAGAAAGGAAGAAGATAGGCAATTCATAGTTCAGACACGTTCTTAGCAGATTACGATGACAAATGGTTGAATGTTAGAAAAATGTTTTCGAGGTCGAATACTCTCCTTATCATTATCGTCTTTTTTTAACTTATGCGAGTTAGATGATAATAATCGTTGAATTTATAAGCAAATACACCATATGTGTCAAGTTTTCTCTCATAAAAGTTCAACATTCTATTACAAAAATCTAGAAGAATATAATTATAAAAATACACTCTTTTATACAAACTTTTCTTTATTTGTTTAATCTATCTCTCTTCCTCTCTCTCTCTCTCTCTTACACAATTTTAACTTGAACTTGAAGTCTCTCCAGGATGTCACATTGAAATCATCATAAATATAAACTATATATTTCGAGAAAACTTAATAACAATACAAAATAGTATATGTCAAAGGATGAAATAAGATTTTTAGTAATCAAAACATGACCTACATTTTGACAAAACTAACTAACAATGTAGAGGAATGTAGGTCAAAGAATAAAAAAGACATTTGTTGTTGTTGTTGTAATGTAAACATAACCTATATATTTCGTGGAAACATAATAAAACATCCTGAAGAGTATTATATATCGATACACGTGCACTGACATATGCTGCAACATAGGCAACTTTTAAAGTGGACTGTACTAAACGCACCTTTCGTGATTTCAAGGCGTGCACCACATTGACTCTTGAATACTTCTCCGTCAGAATAAGTATCAGTGAACCGGCTGCGAGTATTCCAATGCCGGTTCTCAGCTTCTTAAGGCTATCGTCACCACCACGCCACGAGTTGTAGGCACGCACGACATGTCGTCGATAATTTCGCGAAAATGGAACGGCTCGTCTTGTAATAAGACTAACCGCCAACGCCATGTTTCTATTCTTTATTCTCTATCTCTCTCGCTCTTTCACTTTGATAAGCTGACTCTCTTCAACTCGTTCGTAATAGTTCGGTCTTCGTCGTGTACATTCGTACAAGTGCGTACGCATGCTCAGTAGGTAACTTTCGTTTTTTCAATTTCATTTTCTACCAAATTTTTGCAATAACTTCTTATTCCATCTTTTCCTTACATCTTATTGTATTTTTTTTATTATAGTTTTATTTAATGTTGTATAATCAAGATTTCTATACTACTCATTGGTCATACTAGCAAATATTTTTATCAAAATTGTCATTAATAAGATTCATCTTTAGTTTGTCGAATTACTGCATTTTTTTTTATTGTATTCTTTTTTTTTTTATTTAAATTAAAGATATTAATCGTTTTGGCAAAGAAGGTAAGTATATCGAAAGACCTTTGATCTTACCAAAAAGTGAGTATACAATACACACCTGTACTACGAAGGTCTACCATCAGACAGGTATTAATCCCGGTAATCAGTATAGGAACAGGAGGAAGAGGAGGAAGAAAAAGAATAAAAGGAATAAAAGGAATAAAAGGAAATAAAAAAAAAAAAAAAAAGGAAAAGGAAGATGAAGGAGGATAAGAAAGCCGAAAAGGGGAAAGCGTAGTTGGTCTGGCCCTAGGTCGTTAAGTCAGTCGACTGAATCGTAATGCTTGAGAAGTAAGTAAAGGAAGGAGTAAGAAGAAGCAGAAGAAGGAGAAGGTGGTATGGAAGGAGTAACTGAGTGAGTGAGTAAGTGAGTAAGTGAGTAAGTGAGTAAGTGAGTAAGTAAGAAAGAAAGAAAGAAAGAAAAAGATGGAATGAGTGAATATAAGCGAGTGAACTAACAGAGACAGAAGCTGGGGCACCTGTCTGTCCCTCCACTGGTGAGGAAATACGAGGAAGAGGGGCCGGCACCGTTCCATGGTTCAGTACCCCGTGCACGCTCACGCTGATAAGACCATACTCTAATCACTTGTCGTCGGTAGTGTCTAAACACGGACCATTGATACATAATAATGTGCGTGCTAGCTTATTAAAGCTGCCTCGTGGCATGGCAAAGCCTTTTTTTTTCTTCATCTCTCTCTCTCTCTCTCTCTCTCTCTATCCCCCTGTTTCTTCATTTCCTACGAGGTTAGCCTTAAATTGGTCTAATCGTTTCTAGATTCGATTGAAGTTTTAATACTCGTGTGCAAACTGCGATCGAAACGCGCCAAGGAGGAGTCTTTCGAATGGTATGTGACCCTTGCTCCCCGTTCGTTTGACCTCTCTTTCTCTCATTCCTTTACTCTTGCGAAAGAGGAACCACCACGTTATTATTCTTATTTCTTCATCGTCCATACATATCTTCTCCGCCTTTTTCATGATATATCTTTGAAGAATAAACCAATCATTTTATTCTACAATTGTTTAGAGAAAAATTCGCCAATTGTCTTAAATCTATCTGTCTCTATCACTTTGGTAGAAATGTTTCTAAAAACCCACCACACCAGCAGATTTTCTTCCTTCTCCTTCTTTTTATGTTTCTTATTCTTGTTTTTCACGATCCACCACTTCTAAGTCTTGAATTACCGATAAGGCAAGTTGAAGTACCTCCTTAAAGACTATTTGGTCGATCGAAGAAGATCAAAAAGGACTCGATCGAGAAGCTTTACAGATACTCTCAACAGCACAACCCACCCTCTTCCTCTTTTCTCCTCTCCTCTTTTGTCTTCTGCCCGGGCGAGTTTTTGCAGATACTCGGACTTTTATTTTTCTTCTCATCGGTTACTCCCTATCATCCAACCTCAGCCCATGATCAGCCCCCTTCTCCCTATTTCCTAAAACATCAGCAACAAATTTCGTTGGTTCCCTCTGTCCTTTTGTTACACTGGGCCCAACACATTTTTTTCATACCTAAAAACGTACAAACTTTAGTTGGGTATTATTGTAGAGTATGTTGTATATGATAATTTAATCGTATCAATTGTATCAAGTATACCGCAAGAATAAATTCAACTTTGGAAATTCAAGTTTGTTGGTTTGAATCGAGTCAACCGTTAGAACACAGTGGTTCTTAATCGGTGTTTCGTAAAGTTAAGAAAATAACCACTTATCGCTTACAATTCAAAGTGTTCGGTTACTTGAAAGAAATGAAGAATCACTGAGTTAGAAGTTTACACGTGTGATTGCTCGTACGTCAGCATGCCGACCAATCATCAAACCGGACCAGAAGATCGAGCACGTGCTCGAGGCCTTCCGCGAGAAACTTTTCAACCTTCTTTTTCTACTACTTTCAATACCAAATTTCATTCCTTCTAATGTCTATTATTCGTGATTTAGAAAGACAGAAAGACATTTCCATATTTTCTTTGGGTATAATTGAAGATCGTTTTAAAACCCGTTACTTACTCATATACATAAATGTAAGAGAGAAGAGAAAACATTCCAGTGATCAAGGAAATTGTGAGTGCTTATTGTCGATAACACGACTCTCTTCTCTTTCTCTCCTTTTGCTTTTGATTTTGGAAGAGAGAGAAGAAGAATATCAACGCAATTGGGAAACAACAAATCTACCGTCCTATTTTTCCACGTTTTTATGATTTCCAACATGAAAGATGATGATTACACGATCGGAACACAACTGGACGGAAAGGTAAGTCTTACGAAATAATCAAACATTTAATAATGGTGTTGCAACGAGTCAATTAGACAAATAGAATATATCGTTAAATTTATAACAAAAAATGAATGATATAATACAATGAAAATATGCATAACTTTTAGTGTATAATATATCTGGTCAACAATGTGCTATAACATACAGCCTTGGCACACTTTCAATTCCTGTTTTGTTCGTTTGAATTGAACGACGTTGGAACAACGTGTTTCGATATGTATTTCGAGTTCCTTTTTTCATGTTTTTTTTTTTTTTTTTTTAATTTTATTGCTTCTTATAATAACACACACAGTTAGAGTGTTGCGTGTACGAAAAGAACATATTAGATACATACTTTTAAATTACTATGCCAAGTTCCTCGATGACAGTTAGATGCTACATCATGTTAGCTGCTCTGTTGATTTCTATTGCAAGTTTATCTTAATCATACATATGTGTGTTGTAATAATACATTGACAGTTGGCAGGTGAAAATGATTGAAAACGTAACGGTTAAGCGTAGAAAAAAGAAAAAAAAAAAAGAAAAAAAAAACAACTTGTATAATCTATAAATAATACCAGAAGAATTTTGTTATATGGTTGTATTATTTCGCGTGTTGTTTATAATAATGAAAAGAATTGTTAACGACGATAATCATTAGAATTGATGAACAAATTAATAAGGTGATTAGACAGACACCTATGTACTCGTTATAATTACACCATGATAAGACAGAGCAAGTACAGAGCAAGTATAATAAGCGAACGAACTTTATTCCAAGACTCATCATATAAAATAAGAAAAAGTATTTCATAGAAGGTTCGTTAGAAACCCTGTCCCATAAGAAGAAGAAGAAAAAAAAAAAAAAACGATGAAGGGGAAAAGAATCTCTTGATGATTTTACCCTGAGCAATTAGTGTTACTTATTTTTTTTTTTTTTTCTTAACTTAGGTATAGATATCCAACTATGGGCTAGGACAATTAGTTTGCTAATTAATAGAGTACCGCGGAGAGAGTAATTATCATCATCTCCCACGATGATAACTATCGGATGAATAAAAATAATAACAAGAAGATGATAGTGTTCATTATTACTCCTACATGCATCATCTTTTTTCTTTTTTTTTTTTTTTTTTTTTAAACTCTCTTCTCAACAAGAAATAAAGAGAAAAATAGTTAACACAAGTCTCATTTAGTTAAAAATAGTACTCGCGTATATTGACAGTGTTAGAAGGGTGGTCATACTTCTTTCTGATTTATTTGAAAAGGAGTAGGTTGTTTCGAAGGAAAAGTTTGTCAATTCTTGTTGGATTTATTTTCGAACATTGTTTTGCGGTAGCTAGCTGGTAACGAATTATAGTTGGCAGTTCTAACAATAAAGGTATACTTAAATAGGTATATACATAATGTGCATTAACTATTATACTTGGCGTGTTTCTTCTGTATATTTGCTGCTTACTCCTTCTCCTTCTTCTTCTTTCTTCTTCTCTTTGTATCTTTTTAAGAATATAAGAAGAAGGAGTGCAAGAAACGAACGATTTCTATAGGCTAGCATTTGTAACGCGTTAGCACGCACGTACTAACGAACTAACGAAGTTCATAAGTATATACGAGCGTAGGTAGACAACATCTCACAGCTCTCTCAGCTTTCTACCTCCATCTTTTTAAATAATATCTACAAGATGTTTCACAAATGCTGCTGCTGCTGCTACTACTCATTTTCAAATTGACTTTTGCTGAAATGTGACAATATTTTAATATACATTTGGATATATTTGTAGTAACGAATATGATATACAAATATTACATAAAGTTAGGCTGTTGTGTGTCCCTGTTAGGCTTGTTCGATCAAACAAACAAACAAAACAAAACCAAAAAGAAAGAAAAGTAATAAAATGTTTAATCTGTATAAGTGTTGAAGTGATTTTATTTCCACGCGAGATACGTGGTAAAGCGTATATTTTATCAGCTATAGTAATCGGCGTTCACGAGCTGCCACTTATGGCATATCAAGCTAACTAGTTCGAGCAGATGCCTTTTAGAATTCTTTTAATTTCATTATATCATATATGTAAATTCTCTATCATCGATAGGAATATCATCTCGACTTGGAATGATTTATCTTCTATATTTATTTTTTATCTCAAATTTCAAAAAACAATACGAAAAAAAAAATAAAGTATAACACTTTGTACGGTGGTTTATCTTTATTCATATCGACGTAGAAATCTCCTATTTTGAATAATAAATAAATCATAATTTAACGATTAAATAAATGGATACGTGATTTATATCATTTCAAATGACTTTTTTTTTTTTTTTCTAAAACTCCTCGTCTATTAATTATTGTTACATTTTTAATAGTACTACTACGCTCTGTATAATGAAGTTTAAGGAGAACATGAAGTGATATTAACATAAATTGCACAGTAAGCACAAAAGTCACTTTAATAATATTTATTGGTTAGATGTTTCTAAGTAAGTGGCATTTATCTAAGAAATACGTCATATCGTAAATGCCTAAGGCATTTCAAATGGTGCGGTTGCTTTTGCTGCTGAAGAAGCAGGTAGTTCAGTTCCTGCTTTGAGTTAGGGCGTGGATGGAAAATGAGCCTTGAATAAGAGAAAATGAGGCTTGAATTATAGTTTGACGTAAGAAATGTCGCCGCGTTGAGGAAGCGAACAAAAAAAAAAACGAAAAAACGAAAAAACGAAAAAAAAGAAAAAATAGAAAGAAAGAAAGAAAGAAAGAACATTAAAAACTCGAGGAATCGGGTTAAAACCTTGTCGGTGGAAACTTCATATTAAATAGAAATTTTCTATCACTGTGTTTGGATTATTTCGAGATTTATGTTATATTTATGATCAACGATATCGTATCTTAAAAAATACCTTCAGTTTTCTTATCTATTAAGTTGGTATTTGACTAGGTTGTAATATTTATTAGACTTGATATGATTGGTTTGCTAGTACAATTTATATGCCATATTAATTATCATTTCCTTTTATAGTATCGATAAATTTGTCGATTAATTTTTCTTGGAATTTACAGATTTACCAGAGGGTATAAAAAAGAATTGGATTGAAATTCCAATTGAAACAGAGGGAGGGGGACAAGATTAAACTTACATTTTATTCGATCGATTTCAAAGAAATAAAATGGGGGGGAAAAAAAAAAAACAGGCATAGAAAAAATTACGATCACTTTCACCGTGCTTCTTAGCAAGTTTCTGTTTATCTCGACTTTATCGGCAAAAGGGATGCTGTAAAGGAACAGGATTAATCCGACAAAGAGATAGGAGGTTTAACGTATCGATCGAAGATCACAACTACACTAACGCACATGCAACAACACTTCTTACTATCCGTAGAGCTCGGCCCACGCGATGATCTCTTGGACTTGTTATTACAGGTGCAAAAGCCCTATCAAGATTCGTGACGCTTATACTCCAATAAACGATCTGGTATATATGTACAATTCTCACCCTATTCCTCACACTATCATTTTATTTATCCCTTTTTCTTCTTTTTTCCTTCAACATCGCTGATAGAGATGAGGGATGGATGGGGTACAAAAGGAATACAGCTATTAGTTCCGCAATAATTTGAAAGGAAATGTTGTTGGGTCAGCTAGTCATATGACAACTAAAATAGTTCCAATTGATCATGGAAATAGGAAGAAAGTTGTTTAATATACACCATTTATTCTTAGAGATCCCGTTGGATACCCCCGTTGAATCCTTCATCGCCTAGGTTGATTTTTTTTCTTTGTAAAGATCAATGATAGTGACGAGGGCTTTCGAGTGTTGGAAGATCGCGAAAGTGTCTGGCTGGTTTTAGTCCAAGACGATGGATTAGAAACGATCGTTAATATCCGTAGGCGGGTAAACATGCGCGGCGTTTGGTGCTGTGCAAGCGCATGTCAATGATTTATCTCCTTCCTTTCGCGCCCACGCTATGTTAACCCTGACCACGAGTATTATCTGACGAAAGGCCCTTCTTTCGTTCCTTCGTTCCTTCGTTCCTTCGTTCCTTCGTCACAGACATGGTCGAGGACTTGCATAAAATTAGGATTACCAACCATTTCTTATCAAAGATCTTGAATGAGAAAAAAAGTCAATGATTATCTTTGAAATTCTAATTGAACAGAATGTAACTTTGCAAAATATAGATTATGGATATAAATAATTGAACAAATGGATTTTTTTCTTACCGGTACAGCACGAGACTTTTTTTTCCGTTGGTTTGCAGTGCTGGTTGGTGGCGGTCGGACGAGTCGGCAAGGCTCTTGCTGTCTTTGACCTTAATACCACCAGGAGATCTGGCTGGGGCCAAAGACCTTGCCATTGAATTTGGCTGTAATCGAAGTTGACGTCACCGAGACGTTCGTTGCACGACTTGTGTGTGCTCTCTCTCCGAGTGAGTGCTGTTTAACACTGGAAACCTTTCTTTACGAATATTACATGAGACATTTAAATGTTATACCCTACGTTGAAACAATTGGATTGCATATGTGGGGCGACACGTTTCAAATTTCATTCACTGTTTACATCTAACTATATTGCAAACGAAATTTTCCAATTAACTAACATGTTAGTACATGAAATGAGATATAGTACACATTTGTATCTTTTCAAACTAATCTCGAGTCGTGATACTCAACTTTGTAATACCATTTCGAGTGACTTGCGAAAAAGATTGTGTGATCTTTTAGATAAGCTTGTCATATTTCGAGTTAGTTACTTGAAGAAATAGATAAAACCTGTGTCTACATTTAGGTTCTACTAATAGTTCATTATACACTCGCACCACCATTATCACTGTTAGAAAGTAGCAAACAACTTGATAAGCTTTTTACCGATGTTAAACTCAAGATAACAACAAACTTATACTGTTCGTTCTTCCCTTTTATTATGTCAAATGTTAAGTAGTATTTCATGAATACTATCGAATAATTCAACCTACAATCAAAATGAAAAATCGTCATTTGTACAAAATTCCATGAAGAGAGAGAGAGAGAGAGAGAGAGAGAGAGAAAAAAAAAGAAAAATGAAGAAGGTGTGGCTTTTTAGTGCTTCATGTCAAACCATATAGGATCCTGTATTCTCCTTTTAATATTTGTTCCCATTGAATTTATGTGTGCACGCGTGTTAGAATTTTCGGCTGCACCTTAGGTCAAAGTAGAGTCTCTTGTAATATGTTGATTGTAATCTTCTTATTCCGAGATTTATATGATAGAAGATTGTGTCCTGGTGATCAGTTTTGACATCGTTCATTAAATCCTAACATCGTCGGTATGAAATTTATCCTTTTTCTTTTTATATATTTTTTAAACACGCTTATGCAAACACGCGTGATTATAAAAATAGAGGAAGTTCGGATCTTGAACTTTAGATGTTGGAAGGGGGGGGAGGAGGAGGGAAGTTACGGTGTGCTTTAAACATTCATACGTTATTGCGGAAGTAATGTTATAGAGTAGAACTATAAAAAAGACGACAAAAATGTTTGTAGGAAAGATAAATTGCGGTTTTCTTAACGTCCCACTTGGCGTCTTCAAGACATCACGTTTAACTATTATTTATATCTTTATACATATATTATACTATATATGCATACAGAATAAATATGTATTGTATATGAATATAAAAGTTTAGTGCTGTGTAACGAGCTAACACTCTCTCATTTTTCCCAGTGCTACACACCAAGGGTAGTGTACTGAGAAAAACAAGTGCGGTGGGTGATGGGGTTGCTAATTACAAAAATTATTGATGCTGCAAACTTTTTACATTTTCTGACATTTTATTATGCACGTGGTTTCAAATAAAAAAAAAATAAGTTTGAAATATTTGTAATCTTGGTAGGAAAGTTGTACTCTCTCTCTCTCTCTATTGAACGGTATACTCTACTCGTTTCATTGTTAACGATGACAATGCTTATCGAAGAATTGAGTATTGCGACTAGCGTTGTAGACATCCGGCACGTTTATAAAGCGTGTCGTTCGTTGTAAACGTAGGTAGTTACTAACAATATAACTAGTACATAGAAAGATAGAAAGAGAGAAATGAGTCATTATGAGCAGACTAGTTAGATACTTTTTCTATTTTATCATCTTGAGACAGGTTGTAGATAACTGTACAATTATCTAATATAATTTTCTTTACTCGCTTTTTTTTTTTAGATAAAAACAAAAAAAAATATTATATTATCGGATATATGACATAAATAGTATTGCATTTTATTAGATTATATAGGTTTTGCACTTTAAATTTATCTTTTTATTAAATACATCCTTTATATATAATGATAATCAAATGAAATAGAATTTGATTTAATGATGAATCATAATAAAAGACTGAAACAAAAGTTACGAAAGGAGGCCTAGATTTTATTAATAAACTGCCAGTTGGAAGTCTATTTTGGACCATAATAGACGATTATTATGACCAGCAATGAGACAGTTTCAATAACGAAAGGGTGCAATCCCATTCTTCTTCTTCTTCTTCTTCTTCTTCTTCTCGAGAGAGAGACCCTGTCCATCAAGAAATGCTCATCCATCATCATACCAGACTTTCTTTTTTTTCTTTTTAGTATGCCGATAGGGTGTCCCAGGAGAGAGACTTTCACGCAGTGTGAACAGAAACTTGAGATTAAGATTCTTGTCGAGAGAACTATCTCGAGTTAAAGAAAGAGTAAGAACGAAAGAGAAAGAAACAAGTAGTTGGATGTGCATCGGAGTGTTCTTAAGTGGCTCTTGACCTCGCACTTGGAGAACTTTAGACGCGTATATGCGCTCATAAACACGAGAATACGAAAGAGTCTTTATTAGCAATACCGTCATTCTTCAAAACTTCGTATTAGAAAGAACAACAACAAAAAAAAAAAACAACGATGAGCAGAATGAATAGTTGACAAAATTGTCAAGAGGATCCAAGACTATATGATAGCACCGTTGCTGAAAATCATTTCAAATGTAATATTTTGTAGGATTGAATTCTCATTGACTTGATCACTTTATAAGAAGATTTTGTAACCATCAGAAAATAAAAATGTTGACTCTCGACAAGATTGTTATCTTGTTAGGTTATACTTACCACCATAGCAATTTCTCTTTGTCTCGTTCTTCTACTGTATACTATTTAAACGTTTACTGTTCGTCTCGAGTGCATACACAGAGTGTTAGATGTCTAACATTAAGAGCAGCACAGCACACTGTCTCCTGTCCCTCGTCTAGTTTTGCAATAGATCTCATAGATCGGTCGTTAACTCGTTGCGAAAGTGTCTCGACTTTAAATTCAATTAAACGTATGAGAGAGAAGTACTCGAACAATTCACTTTTTCTTTAGAATTTATTTACAATTTATTATCGTGATTTAAGTGATCGTCATTCATTATTTCAACATTTATTAATTGTACCTACTTGCACTGTTTTTATGCTAATATCAAATGGCCAATGGCAATAACAATAAGTATCAAGATGGTATTTTCTTTTATCAAAGAAAAAACACCAAAGTGTTCATCTTTTTTTCTACCTTTTTCTTTTTCTTTTCTTTTTTTTTGCTGTTGTTGCGTTGTGTTTAATTTAAAGTTCCTTTATCTATAGTTTAGTTCACAGCTATTCCGAAACGTAACGATTAAGTCGTTTCCAAGGGCTATCATTTCTTCACTTGGAAATGGATGATGATGAAGAAGAAGAAGAAGAAGAAGAAGAAGAAGAAGAAGAAGAAGAAGAAGAAGAACCTAAAGAGTATGCTGAAGACAGTGTGTAGGACCATAATTAGTCCCTTTTATCTCCTTTGAATTCTCGTTCCGAAAATAAAAAAAACAAAAACTATGTCAAACGTATAGAATCGTGCAGGGCCCCGCGTCATGCGCCGAGTGAAATATAAAAGAAACAGAAAGAATGAACGAACGAATGAACGAACGAATGAACGAACGAATGAACGAACGAACGAACGAACGAACGGAGAAAGAGAGATGGAACATGGAATTTGGTGTCAATGACCTTCGATCGAGTTAGGAAGAAAACCAGCTCGGTGTATTATCGAGATTAAAAACGATCGATATCGAAGATCCCTTCTGGATAATCTGAATTATCTTACTTTTCCTTTTTTTCCTTCTTTTATTTTATTACCTAGGGTAAAGTTATTCAAATTGTACCCCATATAAGAAGATAAACTTTTACTTTAATTCTTACGCATGCATTTTCATATATTTAATAAGATTTGTTTATTTCTATTGTTGGATAGCATAAATGAATGAATGTTATCAATAATTATTCCCTCTCTCTCTCTCTCTCTCTCTTGTTCTTAATCGTCGATCAATTTTCGCATGATTTATGTGACAAATTATTCGAGATAACTGATTAATTATTCATCTTCTTTATAGTTAGTATTAATTAGATTAAATGTGTATGTGTGTACATTTATTCGTATATAGATATACACCTCTATATAGAAATGTAAAACGTTCTTTGAAGATTAGAAAAGGAGGCTAACGATAACATTTCTACGAATAATATAATATTAAATTATTGTACAATATGTCGAGTTTCTATTAATTATTATTTAATATCGTTCAAGATAACCATTGATTATAAGTATTACAAGAATATTTATCAACGAGACAAATCAATATAAGATCTAATAGTTTCTATTCCTTAATTGACAAATAAATGTATTTCTATTCATTCCAAAATATCCATCTTTGCGAATATTCCTGAAGGAATGTAAGGTATAAAAATAAATTGTAGAAAATGAAAAAAAACTAAACACGTATACCCTCCCTCCCTCTTTGCTTACAAGTACATATGTCTGACAAGCATAATGCAACAACACACAAGCATAACCGGTATATAATCTCGTTAGGATTTGACAAACACCAGGCTGTATATCGTCCATCACTTTCTCTCTCTCTCTCTCTCTCTCACATGATTTTTTTTTTCGCGGATGCACGTGCAATGAGACATATACCATCTGGCTGTTGAATGTGTCGAGTGCACGAGTAGCAATTGATCGTAACGATATTCTTGTATCATCATTCGAGTTATTTGTCGCCCTTTCTCTTTCTTTCAACCCCTTTTCCTCTCTTCCTCTCTCTCTCTCTCTCTCTTTCTCTCACTCCTACTCTCCTCATCTTTTTACTCTTCTCGAGTCTGTTAGCCATCGTTGGCCATTGACCGACCTTCATAGTTGAACCGTGTTGCCAGATGACGGACTCTCTTTTTTCTTTTTTTTTTCTTATATTCTTCATCATCTATCACTCACCCTCTCTATTCTTTTTTTTTTATATATTGCATAAAATAATAATAATAATAATAATAATAATAATAATAATAATAATAATAATAATAATAATAATCATAATCGTAAAGAATAGAATTCGTATTTTTAAGTTGGAGAGGTACGAAGATTAATGCCAAGTATAATTTGAAATTTGA